CAATTTGGTATATTTCTTTTTGTATGTTTTGAATTTCAGCTTTGATAATTTTGGTTCTGGTTTTTGAGTATCTAATCGAGATAGTTTTGATTTTGGCTTTACCTTCTTCCCACCAGGAGGTTTGGTCTTCATAGTCGGGTTTATTACCCTTCCAATCAGACCAAAACTCCCGGATGAGAGTCTGGTACTCAATGTCCTCAAGAATGGAATTGTTCAGTTTCCATTTCCCTCTCCCCCAACGTGCGGACCCATTGTTAAGGGTGAGTTTAACCGCTTTGTGGTCGGAGAATGAGGAGTTGAGATGGATTATATCTTGTATTTTGTTTGAATAGTGGCAAGAAAGGTAGATGCGGTCTATCCGGGTGCCAGAAGCATCTTTCAGGAAGGTAAACTGTTTTGTTCTAGGGTATTTGGTTCTAAAAGCGTCCTCTACTACACAATTGGTTTGCATCAGATGCAGCTGACTCAGTGCAGTAAGAGGTTGGTTGGTCATGATATTATTTTTATTGTCTAATTTTGATTCTATGAGGTTGAAATCACCGCATATTACAAAAACGTCTCTAATGTTGAAATGTTTAGAGACGTGGGTGTTGACCTCAGAATAGAAATCACCTTTTTCTTTATGTTCGTTCACGCCATATACATTGATGATATGAAACGTGACGTCATTACCGGTAAGAACTAAGTGCAAAAAGCGACCAGTTAATTTTGGAATAGTATAGGTACGGACTAATTTGAAATCTTTTGAATAAAGTGTGGCGACACCTGCCGTGCTGAGATTAGGGCCGTTGGAGAAAACTATGTTAAATTTTGAGATAGTAGAAATATCTGAAGAATTTTGATCAGTAATAATTCCAACTTCCTGTAAACATGCAAAATCGTTTAATTTAAAAAAGTCTAGAATTTGATGTTTTTTCGTGTCAAAGCCGCGATGAATATTTAAAGTGGATATAATCATGATATAAATTTAAAAAGGGATATAAGATAGATTTCAAATAGTAAAGCAATATTTTGATATTTTAACCTAAAAATTAGTTCTTGACACTTCTACTGTGTGAGGATGATCTCTGCCGGTCTTTCTGAACTTTACCGGCATCGTATCTACTGACCCTAGAGTCTTGACTACCCACAGTTCTATCTCGTGAGATAGATCTCTGGGTAGTCTTTCTAGGGTCTTCTATTCGGTTTTTCTTCTCTAGGTTATCTTCAAAAGGGCTTGTTATAGGTCGTTTTGTGGAGGTTTTTGCCGGGGTTTTAAAGGTGGTATTAGTGCCTGTGGATTGGCTGAGGGTTTCTGACGCCCGGTTTATAGATCTTTGCAGACTCTCTGCTGCTGTTCTAAGATCAATCTCCTCTCTACTTCTATCGTAATCGTCGATGTTGAGCTCGTCCCAACCTGAGGGGAGCTCAACATCGATGTCGGGGACGGGAGTAGACGTTGCCCTTTCCGGTTCGGCGGTGATTTGATCCTCGTATTCGTTTCTAATTTGTTGGATTTCGGCCATCAGAGCTTCTGTTCTATCTCCGATGCCGAGGCTTTCTGTTAGGTTGGACTTAGGTTTTG